GGGGCTCCCCCCGTTGACAGTTCACTGTCTAGCACTGGCTTCGTAGTGCACTGATCGATTAGGCTAAGCTAACCTGTAGCTGCTCCCTCCACACTCACAACAACTTCATACAGACATAAATAAAGCAGCTGTATTCGCCATACAGGAAACACACATTTAAAACGGTTTTGCCTGCCGTTTTTGTGTACACAAGCATTCATTAATGGTTCGGAAAGTGGCACTGTACCTTAATAATATAAAGGCTTGTATATGCATGCATTTCCTGCTCGAAAAGTGACAATGTACTGAGAGTGGAAGTGTCCTGAGATTCAGGCAGGCTCCATGGACCTGTCAGCTCCGGACAGCGCAAAATGCGTACATGGAGCGCTACGTCATGAACGCAAGAAATCATACCCTCGTGGGGGCGCGCTCATGTGATTGGCTTAGAATTGAGGAGACATCTGATTGGCTATAGATAGAAACAATTACAAGTACGAATCGGGTGACCGTCAGGGGAGTCTCAAAAAACCCACACACGAATGCACAGCGATCCATGCACAGAAAGCGAGTTGTTTTTGTAGGTGCAGCGGTTTGAAACGGAAAACAAATATGTGAGGATCAAAAATACATATGTAAAACTTTTTTCTGTATTTGGATTTTATTTACATGTATATGAAACGGACCACAGATGACATTTTTGTATGGATTTTGTGTCAAAGCACTTAAGATATTCATTGCTATCGGGATGTTAAGAGCATTCCATGGAATATAACAAAAAGTGTATCTCGAGCCGGTTTCTCAAACTTACCTACCCTACCTTTAATATTTATATGTAGATACCCCCAAAGCTACGTCTGTTTCCGGTATTGTTAATGGCGGATGTATTTTGTTATACACACATTCCTTCACATTTTAATTTTAATTTACATTAAAGTATTTCGTGAGGCCTTCTAAAATGTTTTTAAATATAACTAGGGTTGTTGTTGAAGAGTTTGTAAATTAACATGAACCCAAGCTGTTGCCTGGCAACGTAATCACACAACTTCACGTCCGTTAATTCCACAACCACACACATGGATTAACATCGATTTAATACATTAATGTAGCCTTTGTTTCTGCTAAAAGAGGTGTCGACCAGCTGGGGCAACAAGAAAATCGGCGAAATCGAGTGTGACTATTAATAAATTAATAATTATTATATTAATATTGACAATAACAACCGACCGTCGTGGTAGAGCATTTGCTTGGCATTTCCGGGTATTTCTCCACTGGTTGGGCCATGTTAACAATACTGTGTAACTGTCACATTTGAAGGGACGAAATCGTGACATGTTCACGTCTCCCAGCATGGTAAATCGTCACATGTTCACGTCTTGCTGTGATACCGGGTTGCCTTCAACACACACGAACGCGCACATGACCAATGAGGGCAAGAGATAAGTTTGTGCACGAGATGGAAGGCTGACAGGCAGGTAGGCCATCCAGTTATTTTAGCCGGGCCGGCTCGGATGATTGGTCGTGATTTTTACAGCACTACGGCTTCCACAGATGACATTTTTTTATGTATTTATTGTCAAAGCACTTCATATATTCATTGCTATCGGGATGTTAAGAGCATTCCATGGAATATAATAAAAAGTGTTTCTGAAGTGAATTACCTACCCCACCTTTAAGGTCAAATAATGAGACACCCCCCTCGCACCTCCAAACAGAGCCCCCCCACATATCAAATCCCAATTTAACCCCTGGAAGTAAAACTGCATTGTATGGTGCGCCACCTATTTTTTTTGTCCACACAAATGTCCTCACTTTTTGCCATTTGTGTGGCCAGGGGACAATTATCGAAGAAGCCATTGATCTCAGAGAGTCAAAGAATCTTCAACACGCGTGTTTTCCACGGCGAAAAAAATGCACACTCACGCAGGGTCGGCTCTAGAACAAATCGAATGGGGGGGCAATCATTTACCACAGGGGGGCACACACTGCCGTCAACAACAAACACAAAAACACCAACGCAACTTCAATTTCAAAAAACATGCTGTAAAGTCTATTGTCTTTCACACACATTGCAGGGGTGTAGTGCTATTTTATTCTGAATTCTGGATGTATAAAGGGGTCTGTAGGGGGGATGGTTGGGGTAATGTTTTATTTAAATGGTTATTTAGGTAGTTAACTAAGATACCTAAAGCACCAGGGACATACATTTTGGTTAAAATGTGGAATATGATCATTTTCTTGAGTTTTAAACTACTGGGGTCAAATTGACCCCCGAGGATAAAGGGTGTAAAGTCAATCTGAGGATAACAGGAGGCTTGAACAGGTCACAGACGAGACCGTGAGAATCCAGCAGATGTCTTTGATAACACGTCTATAAAAAAATGTCCATGGACATTTTCCAGATTTTAAAACAAACAACAACTTAAATGTTGTCCTTGAATATATCTTATTATGTAAGCTTTCAAAAGTAACTTATTTAATGGCTAAGCTGCATTCTTTCATATTTTTTCTCAGTGTGTTTATTTTTCTCAAACTTGTATTAAACCAAGCTATCCCTATTAAAGCTAATTAAGTACAATACTGATGTGAGAACACTTCTGTGCACATTAAACATGTTAACAGACTTGATTTTAGCTTGGATGGATTCAAATATTATAGTCATGCTGTGTAAAAGAACATATGACTCATATAACATTCATACACAAACATATACTGTAAGCATATATGGCAAGCAACCAGGTGAATGAAGACATTTGAGTTTTTCTGGGATTGTGGATATGACAGATCATTTTGAGGAGTGTCTCTGTTTTTAATGTTATATATGTTTCATATCTGTGTCATGCAGGGTGGGTCTCACTTCTGTCGTCAGGGCACAGACTGGAGAGCTCTTTGGTCTTCACTTGGTCTCAGTTTAGGGGGTTTGGACAACAACAACACTGCTAAAGTGTTTCTCTTATAGTGTCCGTAGAAAACGTTGTTATGGTAATGAATGCCTCTTGTTCATGTAACCAGGCAAAAATAAACACAAACAATTATATAAATTGAGTCAACACATTTCTTTATTAATATGTAATGTTGAAACTTAATGCAGTGGGTGTTTTACAGTGGGCTTCACTGAGGAAAGAGAAGAAATCCACTGAAAATCATGCGATTATGAGAAATATCCCAAACGCCGAAGTTGGAGGGCAGAACGATGTAGACAACATCTCCCTTCTCCAGCTGAAGAACCATTGAGTTAGACGCAGAGACATAGCCAATGCCATCTTTGTAATCTGCAAGCCTCATCTTCATCTGGTCGTTGTGATAGAGGTCAACAATGGTCCAAACTGAACTGCGGTCCTCCCACGCGTTGAATCTGAAGTAGTAGACTCCTGACGGGGGCTGTGAAGATACCTGCATCAGAGGAGAAGGTCAGTGAGGGGAGATTGTTTCTGGAGCTTCAGCAGGACTTAAGGACGGGTTTTTAAATAAGGAACACGTAGGAGCTCTTGACTTGGTTCTACTGTCTACCATGATCAACTGCAGGAACACTGAGAGATGTTTTAATGGTTTCATTAAGAAAACACTTAAGAACGCTGACAGTCACGTGTGTGTGTGTGTGTGTGTGTGTGTGTGTGGTGTGTGTGTGTGTGTGTGTGTGGTGTGTGTGTGTGTGTGTATGTGTGTGTGTGTGTGTGTGTGTGTGTGTGTGTGTGTGTGTGTGTGTGTGTGTGTGTGTGTGTGTGTGTGTGTGTGTGTGTGTGTGTGTGTGTGTGTGTGGTGTGTGTGTGTGTGTGTGTGTGTGTGTGTGTGTGTGTGTGTGTGTGTGTGTGTGTGTGTAGTACCTGTAGTTGGGTTGTAGGCCTGGCCGATATTGGTGAAGACTTTACTGTACTTCAGTGTGATATCAGTGGTGAAGGGTCCGACATGTCCTGCATCAGTGAGACCGACTGAGAACGCCACCTGAGGACGGTCTGTGAGAAAGAGGAGGAAGCACACAGAGATGAGAACTCATTCACAAACAAAAGAAAGTCAGTGGTTTGGATTCTGATAGTCAGCAGAGATTGATATGTAATATTCTCCTCAGTATACCAGTTATATTCATTAAACAACATTTTCACTCTTCATAATAGAGCGGTGCAGGGATGACGTATTTACCCTGAAGTAAGCTGGTGGTTCCCTCGACAAAAAAGCAACGGGATTTCTCCATAGGATTTAGGAAAATAGCTGGAAATAAGGTCTGTGGAAAACGAGCCTGTTTGATAAATGCACGTTTTGTCTAGCCTACTTTTATAATGTTCGAATCATAAATCTAATGGCCAGAACCAAAATGCTAACTTATGCTATAAAGGAACTACAGCCAAGTACAACAGCACGACTTCAACGTCACGCCAACCATCGTTTTTCAGACACGTCAACTCTTCAGAAATCACCAGTGGGGTCACTGCTGATGGATTTAATGTCCTAGAACAAAACGTGATCCGTCTCTTCAATGTGTCTCAACCACAGACCTTATTTCCAGCTATTTTCCAAAATCCTATGGAGAGATCCCATTGGCTCTGAGACGAGGGAACAGGAAGTGGTGAAATGCTGACTCACTTCCTGGTTTTAGGACTCATTCCTGCACCACTCTATAGTTTCTGGCCGTTTCTCAATCGCGAGGATGCTGGCTTGGTAGCACAGCCGAGCCGAGCATCTTGCTTCAGAAGCAAGGCAAGAATACTTCCTGGCATTCGGAAAACAAAGAGTGGAACAGGCTAGCAAGTGTGCAGGTGTGCGTCATATGAGAGGCCCGCCTTACATCTTCCGCCACAGATTTGGGGAAATTGGTCCATGCGCAAAGCATTGTGGGGATTTTAAGGACGCAAAGTCTACCCATGTGCATCCTCGAAATTTCCCTCAAACCAAGGACGCGGCCTCGGTGGAATTCCAAGTATGCTGGAGATTGGAACAGTCCTTCGGCGGCCCTCGATGACGTAGCATCCTTGAAATATTGGCTTGGAAGCCAATATCCTCGCGATTGAGAAACGGCCTCTGTTTCTCACCTGCGTTCTCTCTCTGGAGCTCCTCCACCTCCTTTTCACTGGAGCTCATCCTGGACTCTAAAGCTGAACAAGTTTAACATTGTTTTAGTCAAATAAAGTTATAGTCTCTTATTTACAATTTCACTATGGCAGATCTTATGTGAAAATAATGTTCTACCATACTAAATATTCACTTTTCAAATTCACTGGAATATTTTGTTGCCTTTAAAACGGCAAACAAATCCTATGTTTTTATAGAAAAATATAATTATATTAGTCATTTCTCCTCTTCTTCTTTGATGACTTTGTACTCCTACCTGTGCTCTTATTCTCACTCGCTGTGACTCGAGCCAGGAGATCTGCAATACAGAGAAAGAGCAGGTTAACAGCTGATAAACAACTACAAAATATCTCATCAATATGTTCGTACTATTTCTGTTAAACATATCATTTACTTCTCTTTACTCACTTTTAAATTCACCATCTGTTTTTTTACATAAAGCAGCCAATCTTTATTTTTTAATAATAGTTTCTTACCTGCGTTCTCTCTCTGGAGCTCCTCCACCTCCTTCTCACTGGAGCTCATCCTGTTCTCTAGAACTGAACAGGTTTAACATGTTTATAGTAAAATATGGTTTTCATCCTCAGTTTATTTCAGTTTCCGTCACTTTTACATATTAGAAAGTTTGACACACGTTTTCTACCACACTAAAGAGTTCACTTTAACCTTGTGTTGTGTTCGAAAGCTGTTACCGTTCATGGTGCTCACGGGTCAATTTTGACCCATGATTTATCTCGGTCCAAAACACTCAAAAATAATGACTATCATCCAATATTGTTTTAACTACATCATAACTAACTTCTAATGCATTCATAACCGTACAATCCTGTTGTAATTTAATTAGGGCTGTCAAGTTAACGCGTTAATAAATGCCACTAATTATTTTAACGCGATTAACGCATGTGTATTTTTTGTCCTCGGCCGCCCCGTAGTTTCAGAGCGCATCGAGTTTAAAATACCATCGACAAGCTGATGCTGACAGCCCCGCTCCTGCCGCCCGCTTGTGGCAGACCACACTTCCACGCTCACCGGCAAGCCCGGACTGGCCATCGGGAGGACCGGGAGGGTGTGTGTATGTGTGGCGCGACTCGAGCGAGGCACACCTTACGTGTTGTTGTTGTTGTTGTTAGCATCTGGTGCTAGCTAGCTGCGCTAACGGATATAAGGAGCTGTTTCAATGAAAACAGAGGAGCGACATTTCGCCGACAACTGCGCCGAGCACTTGACTTTATGCAGGTAGCCAGACAGTGGGACATTGTACGAAAAGTCAGCACACTCAGCACGGATAGTGCGCGCAACATGATTGCAGCGTCCAGGCAGCTCCCGTTCGAGCATATATGCCTTGAGCTGCACATAGCTCAACGATCCATCACAGTGTCTCCACATTCTCACACACACACACACACACACACACACACACACACACACACACACACACACACACACACACACACACACACAGTATTATTGCATGAGAGAGGTTCCAGGTTGAATTGAGGCGAATATTTGTAATGTTCAGAGGTTGTTGTGTTTAATATTCATGAGAATATTTGTCATTGTTCAAATGATAATAAACAAACATATAAAGCATATTTGTCCACTCATATGTTGATAAGAGTATTACAAACTTGAAAAATATCCCTCTAAGGTACATTTAGAACAGATAAAAAATGTGCGATTAATTTGCGATTAACTATTTTAATCGACTGACAGCCCTAAATTTAATGTTATGACCCAAAACACATTACACCACATATTTAAGTAAAACATGTGATTTAATTCACTCATTATATTTCCTATAGGGAAGACAGTGGATCATTATGTTATCTGACTATAATAGACTAATAGAATACAATCTCCCCAAAAAAGTTTTAAATGATTGTTACAGTGGATGAAGTGGGTGGGGGAGGGGTGTCTAAAGTCAAAGATGAATCTTGATTGGGCCAAATTTGACCCTGAGTGACCCACAACATGCTGCTCGGTCTCCCCAGACCCGAACACCAAATTATACACTTTTTTTTTTGGAGACCTTCAGACTTGTCTAAAATGGTCAAAATCAGTTTTGTAGTGTTTATATAGCTGTTGTGGAGGATATCATGAAGCCTCGTTCAGATACAACAAACTAGAGCGTAGTTATTATATAATTTTAACTTGAAACGGGTCATGGGAGACCCGAACACAACATACGGGTTAACTCAGATAGCTTACCTGCGTTCTCTCTCTGGAGCTCCTCCACCTCCTTCTCACTGGAGCTCATCCTGGTCTCTAGAACTGAACACATTTAAAAATTGTAAAAAATAAATGATGGTCAACATTTGTCTTCAGTTGTTATCCTTTTTACAAACCGCGCATTCAAGAATGTTTCTACCATACTAAAATGTTCACTTTCAAATGTTCTCTAGACCGCTTTTTGCCTTTTAAAAATGGGAACACATTTACAGTTTTTATGAAAAAAACAACAACTTTGTATTTTCTCCATTTCTTCTTTGATGACTTTGTACTCCTACCTGTGCTCTTATTCTCACTCGCTGTGACTCGAGCCAGGAGATCTGCAATACACAAAGCAGCTCATTATCTGACAAACAACCACACGTGATATCTTATCAGTATGTTCATCTGATTCTGTTCACCTCTCTTTTCTCACTTTTGTATTTTACACAAAAACATGTCTTTGTATCTTAATATTCACAACATTTCCCTTTTTATGATGTTTCTGTTTCTTACCTGCGTTCTCTCTCTGGAGCTCCTCCACCTCCTTCTCACTGAAGCTCATCCTGGACTCTAGAACTGAACACATTTTAGGTTTTTAATTAGGATTAAAACACACACTCATTGGCACGGGCGTCACTTTGTTTTCAAAAGTGGTGGGGACACTTTATTCAGATAAATAGTATTATTGTAGATGTCACTGTGGAGCTCTGTCACAAACATTATTGTACATGAACATATAAGTAAGCATATGTAAATATTTACCTGCATTCTTGCTCTCGCTGGCTGTCAGTCTGACCTGTGTGGCTTGGTTAAAAACAACAGATGAGTCCTTAAAGTGAAGAGTGTCAGTGATGATGGTTGCTTGTATCAGTGCAGCGTGATGTGGCTCTCAGTGTGTTTTATGTCAGCTGTGTCACCTGTGTTGTCTTGCTCCAGACTCTGGATCTTGATCCTGTGTTCGATGGCCATGTCTCTGAGCTCCTTCAGCTCAGCCCAGACGTCAGTGCTCACCTGGGTCTGACTGCTGCTCTGATCGTGGGCTCCTTGGATATCAAAGTCCCCCTCTTTCTTCCCTGTCCCCCCTCCATCCTCACCCTGAGCCCCCGTCCAGAGCAGACAGAGCAGCAACGCCGGAAAAACTGCAGCTCTCCTCATTCTGAAATATCGCAGTTCAGACAGAGAAGTGAGACACGTCTCGCTCTGTCCCCGTCTTTATATCCACGTTAAACAGGTCACTGACGAGGCCGTGAGAATCCAGCAGATGTCTTTGATAACACATGTGAAAAAAACGTCCATGGACATTCAAACGGTCAGTAGCTGAGACGTAGGTCATTCACGTGACGTGATTCAAGATGGCGTCTGTGTCGGCTCGCCGCTCGCTCAGCTCTCTACCTTTAGCTATCCTGTTTTTGTTTTATGTTTGTCAGAATGTCTCTGCTCTGCTCGTTATGATCGCCAAGCTCTCCTCCACCTCAGACCCTCACTGGAGTTGATATTGCTGCCCAAACCTACATCTGGCAACCATAAATCGTCCCCCCCCCCCTCTACTGTCGGATATCCCCACTTACCTACGCAGGTCACACTGCATCCTGCCTCGCCGAAAGCGCTTTCGACGACGGGGAAAGCGTGGTGGTGCACTGGTCCATCTGAAGGCATACCTGACGGCTTCTTCTGTGAATTATCCACGCCTCGGATGTCATGGTCCTCCCGCTGCACGCCATGTGAGGGATCGGTGGATTCGCCCCGTTTTTCCGGAGCTCCGGACTCTGAGGGGGCCGCTGGCAGCTCCTCCTGCCCGACTGACTGCTCCCGGCCCGCGCGGCGTTCAACACGCACATCTTTGTCAGCTGAGACGCACTACACCTTCGGCAAGCCCGGAGCGAAAACTTTGCATGGCTTTGCTCAATGCTAGGTCGATAGCAAACAAAACGTTCCTGCTAAACGACTTCTTCACTTCTCGTGAACTGGATTTTATGTTCCTGACGGAGACCTGGGTCCACGCTGGCGAGTATACACCGTTCTCTGAACTTCTTCCTCCTGACTGTACATTCTTCAGCTCCCCCCGTGCCACTGGCCATGGTGGGGGCATAGCATCAGTGTTTAGAGCTAGCTTCCAATGCCGATTGCTTCACCCTGTAACTAGCTATGCCAGCTTTGAGTTGCAGCTTTTTGAACTGAACCCGGCCTCGCCTATACTCTGCGCAGTCGTGTATCGTCCGCCAAAGTGTAATAAGGATTTCATAAATGACTTTTCTGACTTTCTGTCCGGGATCATGGTGAAATATGATCGTGTTTTGATCTCCGGAGACTTCAATGTCCATGTGTGTTGCGAGTCCAAACCTCTGGTTAGGGACTTTTTAAATCTCCTTGATTCTTTTGGTCTCGTTCAGTCCGTGGCTGGCCCAACACATGAAAAAGGACACACTTTGGACTTAGTATTATCGTTTGGACTGTCTGTATCTGTGGATGAAATATGTGCAGCAACGCGTATCTCAGACCATTTACCGGTTCTGTTTACAACCTCCATTCCTTCCGCAGGAGTCGAATCACGTGCCCCGGCGCGTCGTCTGCGTTCGATTAACCCCTTGACTGCCTCACAGTTCTCTGATGTTTTTAATGCTTCTCCGATCTGTAAATTAGATGTGAACTGTGCTTTTAATGCTGATGAGCTTATCTCCATGTTTGATTCGACATGCACACTAATACTGGATTCTGTTGCTCCTTTCACGCTTAGACGCACCAAAGTTCTATCAGAGCCGTGGCTCAATGACTGTACTCGTGCTCTCAGACGCGCTTGCAGGCGTGCAGAGAGAAAATGGAAAAAGGATAAACTCCATGTCTCCCTAGAAATCCTTCGTGCTTGCCTTTCTGACTACCAGACGGCAGTCAAAGCAGCCAAAACAGAGCACATTTCTCTGTTCATCTCCAAAAACAGCCATAAACCTCAGGTTCTTTTTAATGTCCTCAACTCTATCATTAATCCCTGTGATGTTTCTTCTATTGTCCCATCGACTACTCTCTGTGATAAGTTTCTTACATTTTTTATTGAAAAGGTATCTGCTCTTAGGCTAGCCCACACTAGTGCTACCCCAGATCCTGCTCCTTTTCTGTGCCCTGCTGTCCTCGACCACTTTGAGCCTGTATCCCTCTCTTCTCTCTCGGATGTAGTCAAGCACCTGCGGCCGACAAACTGCATCTCAGACAGCATTCCCTCTCGCCTTCTCAGAGATGTTTTTGATTCAGTTGGAGCAAGTATTTTATTACTTTTAAACACCTCTCTTACCTCAGGATGTGTCCCAGCTGCCTTCAAACATGCCGTGGTTAAGCCACTCCTTAAAAAGAAAAATCTCGACCCTTCCATTCTCGCAAATTTTAGGCCCATCTCCCAGCTACCTTTTTTATCAAAAGCCCTGGAGCGAGTAGTCTACGCCCAGCTGCAGTCTTTTTTAACCATCCATGGAATCCATGAAAAGTTTCAGTCTGGCTTCAAACCCATGCACAGCACTGAAACAGCCCTTTTAAGAGTTTTTAATGATCTGCTCCTAGCCGCCGACTCAGGTAGCCCGGCTGTCCTGGTGCTGTTAGACCTGACAGCTGCCTTTGACACTGTGGACCATAGCATCCTGCTGTCACGGCTTGAACAGTCCGCTGGCATCACAGGCTCTGCCCTTGCATGGTTCAGGTCCTACCTGACAGACCGTAGCTTCTCAGTGCAGCTAGGTGCCTTCTCCTCTGCCAAAGCCCCTCTTACCTGTGGGGTTCCCCAAGGCTCGATTCTGGGCCCCATCCTTTTTCTACTGTACATACTGCCCCTAGGTTCAATTCTCACAAAACATAACATTCCCTTCCACTGCTACGCCGACGATGTACAGATCTATCTGCCTCTCAAAGCAAATGTCACACAATCACTACAGCAGTTGATGGACTGCTTAGCAGAGATAAAATCCTGGCTGAGCAAAAACTTTCTCAACCTCAACGAGAGCAAGACTGAGGTCATCTTTTTTGGACCGCAACCTCCAGCATCTCCAATTGATATTCTGGGCTCTATCAAAAAAAACATCCTCCCCTCGGTCATGAACCTTGGAGTGACCTTCACTAACACTTTTAAATTCGACAAGCAGGTCAGCACCGTAGTAAAATCCTGCTTTTTTAAAATAAGACTATTGGCCAAAACCAAGTCGTATTTATCTTTTAATGACTTAGAAAGGGTTATTAACGCCTTTGTAACCTCGAGACTGGACTATTGTAACGCTCTGTATGTGGGTATGGACCAGGCCTCAATTAAACGCTTACAGCTAGTCCAAAACGCTGCTGCACATTTGCTGACTGGCCACAAAAAGCGCGACCACATCACCCCTATTCTGGCCTCACTACACTGGCTTCCAGTTCGGTTCAGAATTGATTTTAAAATCCTTTTATTTGTTTTTAAAGCACTAAATGGGCTGGCTCCGGCCTATATAGCTGAACTGCTCCAGCGCTACACCCCAGCCAGAGCTTTAAGGTCTGCTGACCAGCTGCTGCTGGTAGTGCCCAAGACCAGGCTAAAAACCCGAGGACACCGAGCCTTCGCAGCAGCTGGCCCTAGGCTCTGGAACACTCTGCCCCTCCATGTGAGGTCGGCCCAGACCCTAGGGGTTTTTAAATCAAAACTAAAAACACACTTCTTCTCTCTGGCTTTCTAGTTAGAGTAGAGCACGACTCCTGACTTTTCCGTGTGTTTTATTTTTATTTTGTTTTTAAGATATATCTGTTGTAATTTATTGTCGTTTATTGTGATTTGTAGTAATGTGTTTTTATTACATGTACAGCACTTTGGCTCGACCAAAAATCGCTTTTAAATGTGCTTTATAAATAAAACCTGATTTGATTTGATTTGATTTGATTTTCTAGATTTTAAAACAAACAACAACTTAAATGTTGTCCTTGAATATATCTTATTATGTAAGCTTTCAAAAGTAACATCTGTAATGGCTAAGCTGCATTCTTTCATATTTTTTCTCAGTGTGTTTATTTTTCTCAAACTTGTATTAAACCAAGCTATCCCTATTAAAGCTAATTAAGTACAATACTGATGTGAGAACACTTCTGTGCACATTAAACATGTTAACAGACTTGATTTTAGCTTGGATGGATTCAAATAATATAGTCATGCTGTGTAAAAGAAAATATGACGTCCTTTTGTATTTATTAACACTTTAATGCAGAGTTTTTGGGACTTGAGTTGGTCTTGGTCACAAGAACCCTTTTTGAAGGTCTGGTCTCAGAATCAACCTCATTTTGATGAGTTTCTGTCTCTGACAAAGAGGTCAGAAAAGAAAGGAAGATTCCCGGACATACAAGTCAACTCTGTTTTACATTTCTCATATAACATTCATACACAAACATATACTGTAAGCATATATGGCAAGCAACCAGGTGAATGAAGACATTTGAGTTTTTCTGGGATTGTGGATATGACAGATCATTTTGAGGAGTGTCTCTGTTTTTAATGTTATATATGTTTCATATCTGTGTCATGCAGGGTGGGTCTCACTTCTGTCGTCAGGGCACAGACTGGAGAGCTCTTTGGTCTTCACTTGGTCTCAGTTTAGAGGGTTTGGACAACAACAGCACTGCTAAAGTGTTTCTCTTATAGTGTCCGTAGAAAACGTTGTTATGGTAATGAATGCCTCTTGTTCATGTAACCAGGCAAAAATAAACACAAACAATTATATAAATTGAGTCAACACACTTCTTTATTAATATGTAATGTTGAAACTTAATGCAGTGGGTGTTTTACAGTGGGCTTCACTGAGGAAAGAGAAGAAATCCACTGAAAATCATGCGATTTTGCCAATCATCATAAACGCCGTGGTTGAGAGAGAGAACGATGTAGACAACATCTCCCTTCTCCAGCTGAAGAACCATTGAGTTAGACGCAGAGGCATAGCCAGAGCCATCATTGTAATCTGCAAGCCTCATCTTCATCAGATCGTTGTGAAAGAGTTCAACAGAGGTCCAAACTGAACTGCGGATCTCCCACACGTTGAATCTGAAGTAGTAGACTCCTCTGACGGGGGCTGTGAAGATACCTGCATCAGAGGAGAAGGTCAGTGAGGGGAGATTGTTTCTGGAGCTTCAGCAGGACTTAAGGACGGGTTTTTCAATAAGGAACACGTAGGAGCTCTTGACTTGGTTCTACTTTCTACCATGATCAACTGTAGGAACACTAAGAGATGTTTTAATGGTTTCATTAAGAAAACGTACAGTTGTGTGTGTGTGTGTGTGTGTGTGTGTGTGTGTGTGTGTGTGTGTGTGTGTGTGTGTGTGTGTGTGTGTGTGTGTGTGTGTGTGTGTGTGTGTGTGTGTGTGTGTGTGTGTGTGTGTGTGTGTGTGTGTGTGTGTGTGTGTGTGTGTGTGTGTGTGTGGTGTGTGTGTGTGTGTGTGTGTGTGTGTGTGTGTGTGTGTGTGTGTGTGTGTGTGTGTGTGTGTGTGTGTGTGTGTGTGTGTGGTGTGTGTGTGTGGTGGTGTGTGTGTGTAGTACCTGTAGTTGGGCTGTAGGCCTGGCCGATATTGGTGAAGACTTTACTGTACTTCAGTGTGGTTGGAGTGGTGAAGGGTCCGACATGTCCTGCACCAGTGAGACCGGCTGAGAACGCCACCTGAGGACGGTCTGTGAGAAAGAGGAGGAAGCACACAGAGATGAGAACTCATTCACAAACTGTCTATTAAACTAAGAAAGTCAGTGGTTTGCATTCTGATAGTCAGCAGAGATTGATATGTAATATTCTCCTCAGTATATCAGTTATATTCATTAAACAACAGTTTGACTCTTCATAATAGAGCGGTGCAGGGATGACGTATTTACCCGGAAGTAAGCTGCTGGTTCCCTCGACAAAAAAGCAACGGGATTTCTCCATAGGATTTAGGAAAATAGCTGGAAATAAGGTCTGTGGAAAACGAGCCTGTTTGATAAATGCACGTTTTGTCTAGCCTACTTTTATAATGTTCTAATCATAAATCTAATCTCCAGAAGCTAAATGCTAACGTTATGCTATAAAGGAACTACAGCCGACTACAGCAGCACGACTTCAACGTCACGCCAACTTAAGATCCATATTCAAACATACAGATTCTAAATGGAACGAGTTGAAGCGTTTGTTTGAACAGTTAGCAGGAGGCAGGTACTTGCTTTCAAGCAGAACAGGGCAAACAAACTTAGAGGAGTGTTAACGTGTTCGGCGTAATGACGTACAACGACCTCCACAACTTCTGTAGTCCTATTCAGCCACTTGGTAACAACCATCGTTTTTCAGACACGTCAACTCTTCAGAAATCACCAGTGGGGTCACTGCTGATGGATTTAATGTCGTAGAACAAAACGTGATCCGTCTCTTCAATGTGTCTCGACCAGAGTTGGGTGTAACGCGTTACTTTGTAACACGTTAATGTAATAATATTACTTTTGTCGGTAACGGAGTAGTGTAACGCGTTACTTTTATAATTCAGTAATCACACTACAGTTACTAACATTGCCCCGACACGCGTTACTTCGTTACTTTTATAAAATCAGTCATAATCACACTGACAGACAAGAGGGGTTTCCGCCGCAGGTTTATATGTACGTAATCTGCGCGACTTGCGCGTCCACATCTCCGCGTGCAGTGCTGCATAAACATGGCTGAGTCAGCGATAACTTTCGAGGGGTGGAGGTATGCCCATTATTTTGAGTTCGTCCGAAGAATAGACAGGAATGTGACGGTGAGGTGCAAACTGTGTCCAGGCCAGAAGCTGTTATCCACTGCTGTAAACACCACGTCAAACCTCAACAAACACCTGCAAAGAACACATGCTAAGGTGAAGCTAATAGCTAAGGACCCCCGAACCCAGAGTGAGGATGTTGTGAGTGCGCCGCCGCCGACTCCGAAGCAGCAAAAATTAGAATTTGGAGGACCGGTAACCAAAGCAGAGATGGACAGGCTTGTAGCATCCTTCATAGTAGAGGTAATGTTGCCCATTTGCACAGTGGAATCACCATCGCATCGTTCAGAGATATACTGCGCAAAATACAGATAGCAGGAGACAGAGGACAGCCATGGTCAGAGCTATCTGGATCAGTCTTATGCGACAATGGAAACTGAACTAAAGAGAACATTTGAAACTTTAGCAGTCTGCGTGATCTGCCTGTAGGGAGGGGCGGGCCGGCCCTGTGAGTAAAGTAACGAGTAAAGTAATGAGTAAAGTAACGAGTAAAGTAACGAGCTACTTTATGTAGAGAGTAACGAAGTAGTGCAATATATTACTTTTTTTTAGTAACGACCCCATCTCTGGTCTCGACCACAGACATTATTTCCAGCTATTTTCCAAAATCCTATGGAGAGATCCCATTGGCTGAGACGAGGGAACAGGAAGTGGTGAAATGCTGACTCACTTCCTGGTTTTAGGACTCATTCCTGCACCACTCTATAGTTTCTGTTTCTCACCTGCGTTCTCTCTCTGGAGCTCCTCCACCTCCTTTTCACTGGAGCTCATCCTGGACTTTAAAGCTGAACAAGTGTAACATTGTTTTAGTCAAATAAAGTTATAGTCTCTTATTTACAATTTCACTATTGCAGATCTTATGTGAAAATAATGTTCTACCATACTAAATATTCACTTTTCAAATTCACTGGAATATTTTGTTGCCTTTAAAACGGCAAACAAATCCAACGTTTTTATAGAAAAATATAATTATATTAGTCATTTCTCCTCTTCTTCTTTGATGACTTTGTACTCCTACCTGTGCTCTTATTCTCACTCGCTGTGACTCGAGCCAGGAGATCTGCAATACAGAGAAAGAGCAGGTTAACAGCTGATAAACAACCACAAAATATCTCATCAATATGTTCGTACTATTTCTGTTAAACATATAATTTACTTCTCTTTTCTCACTTTTAAATTCACCATCTGTTTTTTTACATAAAGCAGCCAATCTTTATTTTTTAATAATAGTTTCTCACCTGTGATCTCTCTCTGGAGCTCCTCCACCTCCTTCTCTCTGGAGCTCCTCCACCTCCTTCTCTCTGGAGCTCCTCCACCTCCTTCTCACTGGAGCTCATCCTGGACTCTAGAACTGAACACATGTTAGGTTTTTAATTAGGATTAAAACACACACTCATTGGCACAGGCGTCACTTTGTTTTCAAAAGTGGTGGGGACACTTTATTCAGATAAATAGTATTATTGTAGATGTCACTGTGGAGCTCTGTCACAAACATTATTGTACATGAACATATAAGTCAGCATATGTAAATATTTACCTGCATTCTTGCTCTCGCTGGCTGTCAGTCTGACCTGTGTGGCTTGGTTAAAAACAACAAATGAGTCCTTAAAGTGAAGAGTGTCAGTGATGATGGTTGCTTGTATCAGTGCAGCGTGACGTGGCTCTCAGTGTGTTTTATGTCAGCTGTGTCACCTGTGTTGTCTTGCTCCAGACTCTGGATCTTGATCCTGTGTTCGATGGCCATGTCTCTGAGCTCCTTCAGCTCAGCCAAGACGTCAGTGCTCACCTGGGTCTGACTGCTGCTCTGATCCTGGGCTCCTTGGATATCAAAGTCCCCCTCTTTCTTCCCTGTCCCCCCTCCATCCTCACCCTGAGCCCCCGTCCAGAGCAGACAGAGCAGCAACGCCGGAAAAACTGCAGCTCTCCTCATTCTGAAATATCGCTGTTCAGACAGAGAAGTGTGACACGTCTCGCTCTGTTCCCGTCTTTATATCCACGTTAAACAGGTCACTGGCAAGGCACGTGACAATCCAGCAGATGTCTTTGATAACAAATGTGAAAAACATCCAAACGTCCTTGGACATTAACCTGATTTGAAAGGAAACAACAACTTGAATGTTGTCCTTGAATATAGCTTATTATGCTTTCAAAAGTAAATGTAATGGCTTAACTGCATTCTTCCGTATTTTGTTCTCAGTGTGTAAGGGTTGTTTTCCTAGACTTGTACTAAAGAGGACATATTTTGCTCATTTTCAGGTTCATATTTGTATGTAGTGTCGAGGGGTTAAATTGTGCCGGGGCTGTCCGGGGCTCATAGGACGATGCTCTGACGTCATCACCCACGCACATTTGTCATGTTTACAAAAAACGTTAAAAATGGTCTTGTTCTTAATATAGACTATTTAGGGTCGCTATGTGTTGACTTTACTTTAAAATAGCAGATCTCAGTGACCGGATATACTTTTTTGGGCTTAGTGAACGTGTCTCTTCCTTGGAGGAGCAGCATCGCCCGGACTCCGCTGCACGTGCAGAGAGTGTGTGTGTGTGTGTGTGTGTGTGTGTGTGTGTGTGTGTGTGTGTGTGTGTGTGTGTGTGTGTGTGTGTGTGTGTGTGTGTGTGTGAGTGTGTGTACACAGAGAGTGCCGCCAAGCGACCCGACCCGTGTTGTAACAGATGTACTCACATGCTGTTGGCCATACTCACGCAGCCCTATGAACTGAGATTACCACACAAATTTTCTTTAGCAAGTGTGTAGAGCAATATTGATTTAAAATATGAATTTGAAGGTTGGATATTTTTACAAAAAAATGTTGTGTATATATTAATATTTTAAGATGTCCATTTATTTATTTGTAGTACTTTCTATTGTTATTGTGTCATTTGGTGGCATCAATGTGCATTTGGTACAGATAATGGAGCAGATTCTTTAGGGCCACATATCCAGTAGGCCTATATAGTGGCGAAGTCACGCCCATCTACTTCCGCCCCATGGGACCTTATTTCGGAAAAATTATGCATTGAAGTCAATGGAGAGAGAAAACTTATCTTTGGATCCCGTTTGAATTGTGCCATGAATTACACGTATGATGTTTGTCAATCTTAAAAAATCATTTCCATGTCAAAAAAGTCACAGTTTGTCGTAAAACTGTTGAAATATTAGACTATGAAAAATACGCAACTAGAAAGACTACAAATCCCAGAGTCGCGTAAGTGATGTCACAATTGTTTTCCTCCACTAAGAGATAGCTAAGATCAGCGCCATATAGATATAATCTATCTATATGGCGCTGGCTAAGATAAGATAACTTTAACAAGATGCCTGTGTGCTTAGTACCAGGTTGTTATCATACCAGCAATGGGTCTTGCTCGTTCTTTCGCTTCCCGTCTGATGAAAGGACCAGGAGTGGCTGGATCAAGTTAGCTACCAAGCTAGTAGCTAGCACGTTAGTTAGCATTACAGCCTTGTCCTTTTTATTAGCCTTAACATGAAGTAACATTAAGTAACCCAAAATGTTAAACAGTAAGAGTAGTAGTCATATTTCGTGAACCCTTTGAAGAGTACTGTCACCGGTGTGATCATTCTATAATACACAATTTAAGCCCGGGGGAGAAATGCTAATGCTAACGCTACATTAGCATCGGCGATCTTTTCTACTTCATGCTATCTGCACAAATGGTTGACATTAAACATTAAAACGACCAGGCAGTTCAGAGAGAATCAAAGGAAGGCAGGCAGGCAGCTTTGCATGACATTCTTCAGGACGTGTTTCATTGTGGTGATAGTGAGGATAATCAATCCTTTTTTTGACAAGACAGTAGTGACGGCCATCTTGGTGACGTGTGTTGTTGTGCAAGACCGGAGATGTAGTTCATTGAGCGTTTCACACAAACAAATGTGTTACTTACATCATGTGTAATTCGTGGCACAATTCAAACGGGATCGAAAGATAATCTTTCTCTCTCCATTGACTTCAATACATAATATTTCCGAAATAAGGTCCTATGGAGGTCCACCGGAAGGGGAGGGACTTCGCCACTCTATAGCCCTTAAAGGTAGGGAAGGTAAGATCGGAGAAACCAGCTCGAGTGCGCTAGAATTTGAAAGTATGCAGCCGAAAAAAATCTGCCCCTTCCTTCAGACTTCCTTACAGAGCCCCTCCTCCAAAACACACGAACGTGCACATGACCAATGAGGGCACGAGATAAGTCTGTGCACAGATGGAAGGCTGACAGGCAGGTAGGCCATCCAATTATTTTAGCCGGGCCGGCTCAGATGATTGGTCGTGCTTTTTACAGCGCCACGGCTTCCACAGATGAATTTTTTAATGTATTTATTGTCAAAGTATTTCATGTATTCATTGCTATCGGGATGTTGAGAGCATTCCATGGAATATAACAAAAAGTGTTTCTGAAGTGAATTACCTACCCCACCTTTAAGGCCACACAAATGTCTTCACTTTTTGCCATTTGTGTGGCCAGGGGACAATTATTGAAGAAGCCCTCAGTCGTTGTTTAAGAGTCTTGAACACGGGTGTTTTCCACAGCGAAAAAAATGCACACTCACATGAAAATGATGTTTGCAAACCCCCAAAATAGATGTTTTATTTTAACATGCAAGCTAAGCATTCTGGTTCTCTGACAAGAAAATCAAGCAACAAGACAACATTTACTTCAGGCTAACAGGACAAACATCATTGCCGCATTTTTTTGGGTAATTTTAGAGTATTTATTTGAGTTTACTTTTAAGTAGAGTAGCTTCGAATGAAATTCTTGCAACTTTTGATTCGCATTTCTTTGTTAATCCAAATTCTGTGTGGTCTTTATTTCATGCTAGCACCATAATCCGTGTATTTACCGTCCAATTGTTTTTCTTTATTAAACAAGTAAACGGAAGAGCGTCTGAGAGACGTTTTTGCTTTTTACCTTACTAATTGGTCTAATGGTCATTGGAGCGAGGGGCGGGGCGAAACTCACGGAAGTGATTTCAAAACAAAAGCACTCGTGTGCTTGGAACAGTGATAATATTATAAATCAAGCCACTTCTGTTAAGTTTGATGAGGGAAAAAATGATTTTTTCCATTAATTCTTTGTGAGTTTGACACTGTTGGACTCAGTACTAGTGAAACTACTCCCACAAGTACTATGAAGTACTTTTACTATGTACATTTCCAGTAATCCTCTGTCAATGTCCCCTCCTAAGTACAAGAATGCATGTTTTTCTGCTATTTTTAATAAGCATTAAAAAGCCTTTCTTCCTGAGACTGATATTATTGGACACTCCACCATGTCAATACGTTTCTCTTTTTGTAGTGTATTGGTCTTTTGTAGAGGTTTTTCATTGCCTGCTAAAATCTTGCCTAGGGCAGCAAATTGGTCAGAATTTGAAACATGTTCGGCTATGGATGCCTAAATCCATGAGTGGGAAATATAATCTACTCGTCCAGTATTGGATCTTCTAAAGTTTCACCATCCCGGAATAAAACAATAAATCTATCTAGGTTATTGGGTTATTGGGTTATTGGGTTATTTTTCAATATTTGGCAGATGGGACCAGAAAGGGAGGTGTAGCTCAACAGGAACCTTTGATCTTGTGTTGGGTAACATTGACTCTGTAAACACCACTCTTAAAGTATGTGGGTCACACTGCAGCTTTTCTAAGTAAAATACTTTGATAAATGGTAGTTTTAAACGCTTTTGCCTTTTTACTTCTGATGCTAACTGATGTGAGTCCCATGGTCCCCTGAAGTGGCTGAATTACTTTAAATATAGTGTATATATTCAGGTTAACAATACACGTCCTATTCTTCATAAAGCAGGAGGCTAGGACACCCACAGTCAATTACTAAGAACATCTATGTAAGGAGGTCTTTTTAGGTTTTAAACAATAATATGATCTATTAGGATTTGACTTCTAATGGATTATTTTTACTTTACTTCATGCACTGGTTAATACTGCTTGTTGTTAGCTTCTGTTGCGCTAACGGATAAAAGAAGCTGTTTCTACAATAATGTGGAGGAGAGCTCTCTCCTGTCAGACTGAGAGGCTCAGTGAGGTAAAGG